AAATAAATTATGATCAATATTTATTAAAGCATTATCAATTTTGTCAAAGATCGAGTTATCTTCGTCTCGTGATAGAACAGCATCTATTTCATCAAAAATTCCTTACAAATACCTTTTACAAATTTCGCAATAAAGGAACAATGGTTGATATTGCCATGCTTATTGCAGTGGCCATAACATCTATTATTACATCCATTCTTTAAACAATTATCAGAACCTTGCTACTAATAGTAACTTTCCCAAAACCTATTCACTAAGTTTTTAAATGTTTCCTTTAAAAACTCTTCAATCGTGCTAGATGTCCAACTAAATTTCATATTTTTTTATCAACACTTGCTACGTGATGCGGCATTATAACATTTTATTTTAGGATCTTTATATCTGTGAATGCCTTTTTAAATTCTTGAATATGCTTGTTATCCATTTTAACAATAGATTTTAAAGACTGTTTCGATTTAATGAAATTTACGGCATTTACATAACCCAACAATTATATTCTTCTAGTGCACTGAATACTCTTTTCACTACAGGTGAAACAAAACCACTTCACTTTGTAGTTGTATGTGGTGTCCGTCACTGACAGTTTCAGCTTCTCTTGTCGGTTGATCAAATGGCTCATGTTTCTTTATTGACGACATATCTCAGTTTCTTCAGTTACTTTTTATTGATCGTCTTTGTACTACTTCAAGCTGATATTTAGGTGGCAATTCTCCAACAGAAATTGGTCATTGGTATACATATCTTTGTTTTCTTGAAACTAATGAGCCTAAGCACTCTTATCTGGTCTGGTCTGGTCTGTTGGGATGCTAGGCAATCTAGTTTTTTTATTAGTTATCAAAATCTTTTTTACAAGATAAGATAATTGATTTTCATATTAAATTAGTTTTGCTAAGCTACTGCATAATACTTGAAACAGCCGCGCACGTTTGATGTAAAAGTATAATTGTCGTCTGGCATTTTGAAACTATTTGCTGTTACAGATCGAACATGTTCATCAGTTTCTCATCTAATGCTATTTTCTACGATATATTGGTTCCTGATCTATCCATAGAGGCTGCTAATATTCTAGGTACATAATTAATTATCTTGATATGTTGTACTTACCATAGTGCTGTACTGGTGTACAGAAGGTACAATAATTTTTTATCTGGCCATTCTTGTCCTAATTGTGTTTATAACATGCTTTAGCGCGACTGTATACCATCAAGCCAAATCCTACACCTGTTAACCTGTTACGATCTCAATAATCACGAAAACAGTTTAGTATATCTGTCAACAATTCCATCTCAAAGATTGATATCTTAAAACTTGCATCACAGACAATTCAGGAAGAACCATAAAAAGGCAAAATATAATCATTTTTCATACCAAAATCAAAAATGACTCTCAACTTCAGTTTATTTTTCAACATTTTAGTAAATATGAAATACGTATTAACGTTATATGTCACGTGACATACTGGCGTGTATATATTGAGTTTAAAACATTTTCCTTTACTCATTGAACACTATAGTATTTGTTTTTTGCGATCTTTGTCCTCCAAACACTGTTTTAATAATTTTGTCCAAGACATCATGCCGTATATTAATACAACCTGTCTCTTTGTAAGCCAAACAACATATAAACAAAACCTAATGGAATGTGTTTTACTGTTTTAATTACCCACATAATGACGTCATTTCTTTTGCTTAAGCTGTTAAGTGTTCGAAAAAACAGGTAAATTTAACGTTTAAAAAAGAATCATAACCAATACCTCTAGAGATGTATTACTGGAACGAAAAAACAATTGAAGCTGTATATCACCGTAACTAATAAGTTAGGATTTATCTGTTGCTGGATAGAAAAATCAAGAAAATAAATCTGAATCTCAGGGATACTTTAATGTCAATCAACAGCAATATAAAAAAGTAATCCTCTAGAAAATAGTGTATACTTAAGATATTTGATTGGTCACTTCTAAGTCATTCCGATCACTAGATTCTAAGCTTAAATATAAATCTAGACTTAAACTCTATTGCTGAAATTCAGACAAGTTCTCTTATTTTTGTCTGCAGGTACTGCATTCCACGGATGGCTCGTAACACAGAACAAAATAAAATATAACAGCATATTTACATGGGTAACCACCCTCGATATTAGGAATGGCATTACAAACGAATTCTGTTTGATAGATGGAAAGGGTGGGGAAAATGCTGCTTTTTTATTCTTTTTGCTCATGCTTAAGTATGCTTTAGGTTAACCTTTCTAAAAGAATTTAAGCATTCTGAAATGTTGAAAACAATCGTACACGTCGTATCCATATAACCTTAGGAATCCACACTTCCATACAATTTGCACATCACACTTTCTAGTACTAATATCATTGTGAGGGTAATGCAATGGGTTCACTTCACAACTTAATAGAAATGTAAAGACAACTCTCGTGTTAGACCTGCTTCACTCTCTCTTTCAAGGATACTTCACTGTCAACCAAATCAACTTCAGCTCTCTTCACCGCCTCAAATGAACAATTTAGGTAATCAATTAGCAGATCTTCTTTGGGGCATATTTATGCCCATAGTGAGTAAAGAAGAGGTTATGTATCTTTCAAAGATGTCATTCGTATGTTGAACAACCTGGTTTTACGCCAGAATGGCATGATACACAGATAACTATTGTCCTCAGATAATAGATTCAGCGAATCTTGAGAAATATAACGGTTGTAAATTGTTAGGCTCTCGAAAACCAATATTGATAAGATTTTCTGTCGCCATTCTTTAAAGTATTTAAAATTCTGAATTGATAAAATGACTGAAATATTACATTCGTTCAATGTAGTACCCTCTCGAAAGGTATAAATCCCTCACGATTGTGGGGAAAGTCGTGTCACTGCTGATATACAGCGCAGTTAATATTGTTTGGGGAGATAAGAACAAATAGTAAACTGAAAGGACTATAAATTTCATTTAACCTATGGGCAGTGAGAGATACCACCTGAATTTTCGAGTCATTAAACACTTAAAGAAATTTTGTCATTTTCCGATAATATTTCAGTCTGTTCTTATTTTGGTGGTGAAAATGAATAAACGTCTTAGTTTATTACACTAAAATTTACTGCATTCGAAAAGAATACTTGAAGAAAAATAAAAATGAAATAAAAGCCAAATTTCAAACAGAAAGGTATGGATCAAACAAAATTGTTAAAGGCTGTGTTTACACAGATGAATATAAAAAGAGTTGCCGGATTGATTCTAAGATGGTATGAATGCAGTGGTGCATATAAATTGCAAGCCATTGCTGGCTTTTCTCATGCTAAATAACAGGAAATGATAATATTATCCTGACTTACAAATTATACAATCCCTGTGTGAGTTGAAAGTTCTTTTCGAAACTTTTCATAGTATTATTGATATCTGACCGCCACAAAACTTTATTTGCAGTCCTTCCGGTACCTTAAATTCTGTGCACATGATCCAATTTATATACGTATGCAAATTTAAATACATATTTATACATAGATACATATGTAAATATTTTCATGTAACTGATTGGTGCACCAGTGAATGCAGAAGAAATTGTATCTGTATGAAATTTCAAATAATGCAAAATGTCAGCATATGGACTCTTAATAAATGATATACACGTGTGTATTGTTTTTTTTTAAAAATAATTTATTTAAATTATTTACCAAGAAAATATGCATTTAGTATCTGTAGAATCTACAAGTTCACTTTAGAAAGTAAATCTGTTTATACGCGGCTTTTCTGTTCTTATACCAATTTCGTAAATGCACTCCTAAAGTTATGTGCATGTGATTTAGGTGTGTGTGTGTGTGTGTGTGTGTGTGTGTGTGTGTGTGTGTGTGTGTGTGTTATTTGGAGTTCTGAAATAGCTTTAACAATTTTTCAGTCAAGTCGCCACGATGTATATAGTGTGACAGTTTATAGTGATGTGTAGCACTGGAGCATAATGCTGCATACATCTAACATGATGTCCCACCCGGTCACTACATATCCTAACACCTGGCCGACCGGTCATAACACTGGCCTCTTAATGCTGAGTGCCTAGCGAGGCAACTATTAGTGCAATTTTTATAAGTATTAGGTATGACTCGACAGGGGTTCGAATCCGCGATCACCCGCACCCAAGGCGGACACTATAATCATACTAGACGGACCTTACAATGGCATGATAATACTCGGACAATTGAAATTAACGAGTTTTAAATGAATGGACTAAAAACCAAGATTTTAACTACTGCTGTTTCCTTGCCAAGTTTAGATAAAGTAACTACGGGATGTGCCGAGTTTTGATAAAGTAAATACGGAATGCTCTGAGTTTAAAGTAAATACGAAATGTGATCGAACAGTACGGAAGCCACACCCAATATCATAAAGTCGAAAAACCCGTAGCCTGGTTCTAGATATAAGGCCACACTTTAGGTCAAAAAAGGTACCATATTTCACGCATATTTATTTATATCTACCTCGAATCGTATTTTTTATGAAGCCAAACAACCGTTCATAGATTAAGTCTAAGAAGTTACGGTGAGTGTACGAAATTTGTGTTTTATGGGTGAAATTTGAAGTCCAACAGGAACCAAAACTTAGAGAGACACCACCACCACACCCGGACAAACATGAAACTCAAACACTTTTAACTATTGGTCAACTAATATATTATGTACCGGTGCAAACTTTTTAAATTCAGTTAGTGCCTTCACGATTAGTTTAGGATAGACTGACTCAGGGTCGCGGGTATAACTATCTGCTATCTGTACATTAGAGTGTGGACATAAAAATAAATCACCTGGACATGAAAAGTGAAAACGTGCATTCCGTCTCGACATGAATTTGTTAACTAACAGATAAAACGGTAAAATGTTTACAAATTTACATGGTTTTATTTTTATGGTCTCGTCAAATCCTTGCAAGCATTTCAGCCCGTTATAATTGATTGTGTTTGATTTAATATATTCTTTATTCTGCACAATATTTTTATAAATTCTGTGACGACCGCTA